CCACCCAGTCGCACCACAGAAGATCCATGCCTGATGAGCAGCTTCCATAAAAATTACAGCCAACTCGACTCCCGAATTCATGGAGTCTCCCCAGGTGAACACATAAACAAACAAATGCCTCAACAAACCTGTACAAACCATATACCTTTTGGAGTAAGGCATCTCCTTTCATATCTTTTAAATGTTCTTCTGTGAAGCTTCAAGGGGGTACTTCTAATTCTATTATTTCGAAATTCAGGGAACAAGCCCATATGAATCCCATCCATATCTTCATAAACCACAGTCTTTATGAAAGGGTAAAATAATGCTCTTGGTGTGTGGGATTTTAGTTACCTGGTTATGCTCACATACACTAAAACTGGCTTATTTGGCAAAAATCACTAAGGAACTTGAATATTACGTTTCTCTTTCTATGCTATAAGTCCTTTTTTATGTTTTTATAACATAGTTATTCCCATAGTTTAGTATCAATCAGTTATTATGAGAACTTAATGGTGTTTCACTAGCCACTCCCACTGGAAAATTGACCTGAAATCTGCACCTATCACTGGTAAGTGGATGGGTTTCTGGAATATGGGACATTCTCATCTGAGATTAATTACAGTGTGAGTAGCCTTTATTCATAAACTTTGTCCTGAGCCAAATTCACAAAGATATTGGAAGCACCTGTCCAGACTTAGGGGCTCCTGGCACTTCTGGAAAACAGGATGGTTTTCCCTGACATAAACCCCAGCAACTCCAGAAATTGTTTCTGAATTAATCTCTTCTTCTTTGGCCGCCTTCTTTTTTTTTTTTTTTTAATTAGGATTTGGGTGAAGATTTACAGAGTAAATTCACTTTTCATACAGCAGTTCACATATACTTTGTCTCATGTCATTGACCAAAATTTACAATGCAGCAGCTCCCCTCCCACTTCCTCCCCATAGTTACCTCCTCCCAGTGTCCATCCCTTCATACTCTTCGAGAGATTTGGCCTTCTTCTTAGCATTACTTTTGTTAGGACTTATTTCTCAACTAAACAGTCTCAACCATGGCATGGCACGATGGTTAAGAGTCCACCTGCCTAGATTCAAATTTCACTTCCACCACAGACTTTAGATGTGCGACCTTGGTAAGTTACTTAAATGTAACTTTAGTTTCCTCATCATTAAATGGGGTTACAGACAGTTGTTGTTTGCCGCCGAGTCGGCCCCGACTCATAGCGACCCCTCCTTGGGTTTCCGAGGCAGTATCACTACGGAAGTAGGATTGCCCAACCAGCCTTCCGAGGAGTGGCTGGTGGGTTTGAACCGCCAGCCTTCTGGTGAGCAGTCAAGTGCCTTAGGCAAAGGTAATGCCTGTAAAGTACTTGGCAAAGTGCCTAGAACGGACCGAGTGCTTCTAAATACTATTATTATTGTTCTCAATAGCCTCCTAACCTGTCTCTTGCCACAAGGTTATCACAACCCACCAATCCATCTTCTATGCTACTACTAATATATAAAAATATTTCTTGATTAAAAAAATACATATTTCATTATAAAAAATTTAGAAAACACATGAGAGAAAATCACCCATAATATGACCATAAAGACAACCAACCTTAATTATATCAGGATGTATTTCCTTCTACTGTTTTTTCTAATTTTTTTTTCAAGCTAAGTGAGATAATCATTTATACACCACTTGTTTCTGCTGTTTTCACCTAAACACCTTCCCTTGATTTAACACTTGTTAACACAAGTTAGTGTTGGTTCTAGTCTGTTTAGAAGGAGCTTTCCAACACATAAATTGGGATGATAAATGGTTGGTGACAATGGCAATCTCTGCTTGCTTGACCTCTTGCCCACTGTCCATTCCTCCCATCCCCCATCTGCCAAGGCAACAGCTGCCAACACACTGCTGGGTTTCTCTAATACCAACAGTCCCCTGCCTGCACTTCTCCTTACCAGCTTTAAGCTGGGACTATGCCCACCTCTACTGACATGGCACACACCACACCGTACCATTACCAGTTTCCTTAAATGCCTTTTCCATAGCCTGTGAGCTCATTTCTATGCCTCCAAGCCCTGACATGTTGTTGTTGTTGTTAGGTGCCATCGAGTCGTCTCTGACTCACAGAAAGCCTTTGTACAACAGAAAGAAACACTGCCGGTCCTGCACAGGCCTCACAATCCCTGTCACACCCAAGCGCATCATTGTAGTCACCGTGCCAATCCATCTTGTTGAGGACCTTCTCCTTTTCCATTGACCCTCCACTATACCAAGCATGATAACCCTCTCCAGAGAGTGGTCCCTTCTGACAACATGACCAAAGTAGGTCAGATGGAGTCTGGCATTCTCGCTTCCAAGGAACATTCCGGCTACACTTCTTCTAAGACAAATTTGTTAGTTCTTTTGGCAGTCCATAGTACTTTCAGTATTCTTCATCAGCACCACAACTCAAAAGCATCAACTCATGGTGGTTAGCACACAGTAAATGTTTGCCAAATGAAAGACAGAAAAAACCAGGCTGGGCCACAGCCCTTGGCTGTTCCCTGACACCCAGGCAGACTTACCTACGCAGTCACAGGTGGGGAATTCGGCTTGGGCTCTTTTGGCCGGTGTGTCCAGTAGACTCTTGGTGGGTGTGTCCAGGTACTTAAGAGGTGACTCTAAAAAGCCGCTGAGGGTGGGTGTGAGTGGGTTCTCAGCCTTGGTAGGTGTGGCCTCCTGGCCTCCCTCCTCTGAATGGAAGCAGGTGGTTGAGAGAACAGTCACAGCTCCTGAAGACTCAATCTTGATTTGCTTGGGGGAACGGGTAGCAAAAGGGCTCTCGGGGGCTGGGAGACACGTTGGCTGATTCTCGGGGTCCTGAATGGGCACAGATGGGGGGCCGGGAAGCCCAAAGCTGTCCCCAAATTCAGCCTCAAACTGCCGGATTAGCTCTTCTAGCTTATCATCAGCAGGGGGAAGAGGGCCTGTGGGGCCCACCTGCAGGGTGGCCATGGGGCTGGGGGACCTCGTTTCCTGAGTAGGGGGCAGCAGGCTGTCCCCAGAGGGACTTGGTGCAAATAGCGCAAGAGAAGGTTCTGGGGGCAGGGGGACAGCAGGGCCCTGTGAGGTGGGGAGGGGGGCAGGTGGATGTGCCTGCACTTCCTCGGGGGCTGGGGACCTCAGCCCTTCCAGGATGATCTGCCGGAGGGGCAGGAAGAGGGGCTGTGTGTCCCGTAGCTTGGACTTTTTGATCTGAATGGGCTTTCGGAGAGTGGACTTGATCCCAGGGGCAGCTTTCTCGGTTCCCATGGGACCTCCAGAGGGTGCCAGGGGCTTCTTCTTCTTCTCTTTGGGTGGTTTGTCTGGAGGCCGTGGGGCCGGTGAGCTTGGTGGGGCCCACCAGCCAGGAGTAGGAGGCTCCGTGGGAGGAGGGAAGGTGGCATCATGGGCCTGTTCCAGAAAGAGGCTGCGCTTATGGTGGAGGTGCTGCTGCAGGGCGGCCTGCGCCTTCTGGTGGGTATCAGGCTCTGAGGATGGTGGAGGAGCCTCCCTCTGGAGGATGGGAGACAGGGATGGGGCTGGGGAGGAAGTGGGGACCTCAATCTTGATCTTGGGCTTGGTGGGGAGGGCTTCAGGCCGCTTGAATACTGATTGGATGTAATCGCTGGCGCTGCCCAACAACTGCTCCAGTTCAGCCATGGGGTCCGGGCTTGGGCGCGGCATGGGCCAGGGGCTCCGGGGAGTTGCTGGTGGGGTGTCAGTGCCCCAGGCTTCAGGAAACTCAGTTCTAGGAGTTGCTGGAGGGAAGGCAGCGCTATCAGGTGCAAAGGATGGGTGCTCTTCAGGAGGGACCACAGGCCAAGAGGGGGTCCGGAGGTAGGACTGGGGAGATCTGAAAGGGGCAGGAGGGGACAAGGCCTCAGGCAGGGGGCAAGAAGCCTGGGAGGTGGAGTGAGAAGGCTGAGGGAGGGCAGAAGAGAGCTGTGTGAGGGCCTCAATAGCGATGGCGGTTTGTAGGCTGATGTTCTTCTCCTTAGCGATGTTTAGGGCACTCTGAGACAAGGGCAGGCCCTCTGGGGGAGGTATCTGGGAGACCTCGGCACTGAGGAGTGGCCGGGTGTTTGGTGCTGGGAGGCCAGCTTCACCAGGAGGCAGCGTTCCTGGGAGTCTGGGCCGCTCCTCCCCTCCCTCCACAACCACAGACTTGATCTTCCCCTCCAGCCACTCGAGGTAGTCAGGGCATTCTGGGCCATCGCAGTTGCAGTTGGGTGGTTTCATGCCATGCCGCGCAAGGGCTAGGGCCGTCTGCAGTGTGTCAAGATCTTCACTGCCAGCAGAACAACCATCAGGGCCTGACCGGGGACCCCTGCTGTTGTTTCCAGCCTCCCGACTCATCTCACGGTTGAAGGTTTCATAGAGCCGAGTGCTAAGGGCCCCATAAGAGGACACAGCTTCGGCCACAGCCGAAAAGGCCACCAGATCGTGAGCATCTTCCAGGCGAGCAGTATGAGCTGGGCCTGGGGCAGCGTCCCAGTCGGACTTCTGATCTACCCGCCAGGGACCCCCAGCCCCCAGCAGACTGGGCCCAGCAGGCTCTCTAGCACCATTGACCGGCGCCCCTGAGGCGCTTAGCTGCCGTGAGTCCCCATGGTATACTGGCCCTGAGTCCATCTGACCTGGAACGGTTCCATCAACTGGGCTGAGCTCTGAGCCTGTCTGGAAAGAGAGAGGGGGACAAAAAGAAGAAAAAGATGAGCCATGATATTTGAAAAGTATTGATTGCCCTGTTCAACGCCATTCAAAATGCACATCTGAATCTCACTTTTCTTGCAAAATCTCTTTCAATCTCTACTACAACTTCTTAAACTTCAGTTCATCTTTCCATGTTTCCTTGTTTCACCAGTAGAAATGGGAAGATCTTTAAGAGACCCTAATGTTGAATTCTGAATGTTGCTCTGACCCTTTTAGAACCTCAGATCAATTACACTGATGAGGCCCCTGAAACCAAGCAGTTTGTTAAAGAAACACAAAGACGAGGCTGGCACTAGGACCATGTTTATTGTCAGGAGGGAAAGAAAGCTAATCAAGCTAACCATGTAACAATGTGATATGTCACTGTCCTATGCATAGGGGTAGCTGTGATGAACAGATTCAGTCTGGACCAGGGGTCTGCCATAGCTTGTTCATGGAAGGAACCCACAGTTCTTTTCTCTCCCCACTACTGTCCTTACTTCAGCCCAAGCTGAGCTCAGAGACCTGGCAACAAGACAACATTCCCACTCTCAGGCCCAGGATGATAGAAACTGCTGAGTTGACACAGCACACATTTAGCCCCATGCTGAGTCCATCACGCCAATGACAAGTGGGCTGCCGCATGGAAAAAGATTCAGAGCTCTCCCCAAGCCTATGAACCACCATGATAAACATGATGTTCATAAAAGCACAAAAAGGGTGAGGAAAGGAGGGAACAAGAGGAAGGGGTCCAGGAGGGCCCAGCCCAGCAAGTTAAGAACGAATACTAAGATGTGGAATTCAGTTAGTAAAATAAATCCATCAGAAAGGGACAGCCTTTCCTTACAGTAGAATGGCAACAACAACAAAAACTGAAGGAATGATGGATTTAGTTATCATTGAAAGCTAAAACTAGGGATGACAGGTACAGGATATATACACAAGGTCTCAAAGTATCTCCTCACAAAATTACTTGATTACAAGAGGAAGTTTATAGTGGAGAAATCTGGCGAACATTTCCTTAACCAAATAATTCAAGCTATCATCATCACCAACATCACGACAAACCAACATCATGGGCCTCTTGATATGACACTGAGAAGGACAAATGTCACTCATAGAATTCCTGCCAAAATGTAAAACCTGAATCTGATCATGAGGAACTATCAGATAAACCTAAATTGAAGGGCATTCTAAAAAGAACCTAGTTTATTCTCTCCACAAATTTCAGAGTCAAGAAAGACAAATGAAGCCTCTTCCAGATAGCAGGAGACAAAAGTAACAGGATAGCTAAGTGCATGATCACAGATTAGATCTTAGAAAGGGGAAAAAATAGTACATTATTGAGAAATTGTTGAAAATTGAATATGGATAGTGGATAAGAATATTGTGTCAGTTTCACCTGCTACTTTGGCTAGTGGCAACTGGGATCTTGGAGGCTTGCAGGCAGCCATCTAGATGCAACGATGGGTCTCTCCTTGTCCAGAGCAAAGAAGAATGAGGAAAACCAAAGATTCATGGAAAGAATTAGTCCTAGCGACTGGTACACCATGTGATCCGCAGCCTATACAACTATGAGATCAGAAGAACTAGATGGTGCCTGGCCACTGTCAACCACTCAGAGGGGGATCTATGTAGGAGATCCTGGATAGAGAGGGAGAACAATCTAGAACAAAACTCAAAATCATTTTGGGGAAAAAAGAGGGACCAGGTTTGCTGGTCTGATAGAGCCTGGTGGAACCACTGAGACTATGGCCCCTAGCTGCCATTCAGGTCTGAAATTGAACCCACACCTATGGCTTCCAGCCAAGCAAAAGACGGGCATAGGGGTTGGACATTTACCTGAGGTAAATACACTCCTTGGAGAGAATGATCATGGGAGAGAGGGGGCTGTTTGTGCACAGGGGGACAACTCAGGGGGTGGGGTGCATAAAGGAATGGACACAGGGAGGAGGTGACTGTTGGAGGGAGTGGGAGGGGAGCTGTTGCATTGTGGTGAATTGTGGTCAATGTCATGAGACAAAGTGTATGTGAACTGCTATATGGAAAGTGAATTTGCTCTGTAAATTTTTACTGAAATAACAGTAAAAAGAAAAAGAGAATATTGTGTCAATCTTAATCTTCTTCATTTTGAACACTGTCCTATGGTTATGTAAGATAACATCCTTGTTGTTGTTGTTATGTGCTGTCAAGTAGGCCCCAACTCATAGCGACCCCTCCTTGGGTTTCTGAGGTGGTATCACTACAGAATTAGATTGTCCAACTTTCCTTCTGAGGAGTGGCTGGTGGGTTTGAACCGCCAGCCTTCTGGTTAGCAGTCAAGTGCCTTAGGCACTATGCTACCAGAGCTCCTATCCTTGCTCTTGGGAAATAAAAATTGAACTATTTAGGGGTAAAAACACACAGTATCTCAAACTTAATCTCAAACGGTTCAGAAAAAATTATGTTGTTGTTGTTATGTGCCATGGAGTTGGACCCGACTCATAGTGACCCCTCCTTGGGTTTCCGAGGCAGTATCACTATGGAAGTAGATTGCCCCACCTTCCTTCTGAGAAGTGGCTGGTGGGTTTGCTCTGCCAGCCTTCTGGTTAGCAGTCAAGTGCCTTAGGCACTATGCTACCAGAGCTCCTAGAAAAAAATTATACATATATATAAAAATACATACACAATGACAAAGAGAGGGACAAATGTAAACTTTGTGGGTATATGGGAGTCCCTGTACTATTCTTGCAACTTTTCTGTAACTTTGAAATTCTATAAAAATGTTTAAAATAGCTGGCTAAAGTGGTACTAGTCCCAAGACCATCAAACACAGCCATGATGGGCTCCACAGTGATGGTGGGAAACTGGGTTTGGGATCAGCCACAGAAGGAAAGCAAAGGCCCCAGCCTGACATTCCTGCCTCATCCTCATTACTGCTTCTGTTCTGGCCACAAAAGAACCTTAGACTTTCCCAACAGGCCATGTTCTCTGATGTCACTCAGCTGTTTTGCACATGCAGTTCTCATCACCTGGAATGCCATTCCCAGATTCTTAGGCCACTCTGGCTTATCCTTCAAGCTGAGTTAAATTGAATCTCCTGTCCAACCTGCTTGGCAGAATTACCTGTGGCTCCTTCCCCTTGCTTCCCATGGCACCTTGTACCTGCCTCTATTAGCATTTATTACATGCCATGGCACTATTATTATTTGTCCAAGCATCTGCTGCTCCTACCAGACAGCAATTCTTTCAAGGCAACGTCCAAATTTTAATGACTTCTGTGCCTCCTGCCCATAGCTGAAACAGTAATAACACTCTTAGTTGAGTGAAAGACCTCAACCTTTTCCAGGACTGATTTCTCTGACCACATGACCCAAGTAGGTGAGACGAAGTCTGGCCATCCTCTCTTCCAAGAAAAATTCCAGATGGGCACCTCTTCCAGAAGAGATTTGTTCCACTAGCAGTCCATGGTATTTTCAGTGTTCTTCACCAACATCACAATTCAAAAGCATCAATTTAACCCTGGTCTTTCTTATTCATTGTGCAGCTTTCACATGCACATGAGGTGATGGAAAAACCCATAGCTTGGGTCAGGGGCACCTCAGTCTTCAAAGTGACATCTTTAAAGAGGTCTTTTGCAGCAGATTTGCCTATGCAATACAACATCTGATTCTTGACTGCTGCTTTCATGGGTGCTGATTGTGGATCCAAGTAAAATGAAATCCCTGATAACTCCAATCTTTTCACCATTTATCATGATGTTGCTTACTTGTCCAGTTGTGAGGATTTTTGTTTTCTTTATATTGAGGTATAATCCATACTGAAGACTGTAGTCTTCTATCTTCATCAGTAAGTATCAAATCCTCTTCACTTTCAGCAAGCAAGGTTGTATCATCTGTGTATCACAGGCTGTTAACGAGCCCTCCTCTAATCCTGATGCCGCTTCCTCTTCATACTGACCAGCTTCTTGGATTATTTCCTCAGTATACAGACTGAACAAATATGGTGAAGGATACAACCCTGACACGCTTCCTGATTTTAAACTATACAGTATTTTCTTGCTCTGTTCAAAAGACAGCCTCTTGGTCTATCTACAGGTTCCTTATAAGCACAAGCGTTCTGAAATTCACATTCTTCTCAATGTTTCCATAATATGTTACGATCCACATAGTCAAATCTCTTTGTGCAATCAATAAAACACAGGTAAATATCTTTCCAGTATTCTCCGCTTTCAGCTAAGTTCCATCAGACATCAGCAATGATAGCCCTTGTTCCATAACCTCTTCTGAATCCAGCTTACATTTCTGGAAGTTCCCTGTCAATACACTGCTGTAACCATTTTTTAAAAATCTTCAGCAAAACCTGCATGTGAAATCAATGATATTGTTTAATACTTTCTGCATTCTGTTGATCACCTTTCTTTGGAAAGGTCACAAATACGGATCTCTTCTAGTCGTTTGGCCAGGTAGCTGTTTTCCTAATTTCCTGGCATAGATGAATAAGCACCTCCAGAGCTACATCCATTTGTTGAAACATCTTAATGGGTATTCTGTCAATTCCTGGGGCTTTGTTTTTCACCAATTCCTTCAGTGCACCTTGGACTTCTTCCTTCAATACCACTGATTCTGTTCTTTTCTTTAATTTTCACTGTGATTTGGGTGAAATTTTACAGAGGAAATTCATTTTCCATACAGCAGTTCATACACATTTTATTTCATGATATTGACTGCCAATTTCCCACAATGTAACAGTTTTCTTCCCACTTCCTTTCCATAGTTACCTCTTCCCTGTGTCCTTCTTTCCTATGCATTCCTACCGCCCCCCCCCCCAGCTATCTCCCTATTCAAACACTGCCCTTCTGTTCTCCCACAATAGATCGCTTTAAGGAGTGTATTACCTGATACAAATGTTCACCCTATATACTGTTTGGCTGGAAGCCACAGGAATATGTTCAATTCCAGACCTGAAGGAAAACTAAGGGCCACCATCTCAGGGGTGTGACCAGG